CCCTAAGAATGAAAATGGAGACTATGTTATCATCTGCAAATCTAGTTTAAGTGTTATAGGATCTTTGGAGTGGTTTCTAGTTAATGTGTGACTCAGCCCTTAGAACACATTCTAATCCATGTGGCTGGAATACAGATACGCCGTTAGTACTCACCTTTAAATCTAAACAATGAAAATAAATGTAATTTGTAGAAGGAAGTATCCATATTTGAATGTGATGTCCAAATGAGTGGCAGACAAAATGACAAATCAGAGAGATTTCACAGAATAGGATTGCCCAACTGCCATGAGAGGTGAGAGGAAAAGGAAACTACTTAATGGAGCGACAGACAGTACAGAAGAAGAGAGTACAGAACAGGAAGGCAGTAGAGTCACTATGTAGATTAGGCAGACCTCAAACTCACAGAGAGCTGCCTGCCTCTGCCTCCTGAGTGCTGGGGTTAAAGGTGTGCACCCCCACCACCTGTGCTACTACTGCCTAGCTATTTGTTCATATGCTTCTGTTTGAGACCTTGTCTCTCATTAGATTAGTGCTCATGAGTAGGGTGTTCTCCTTGACTAGCGAGCTCCCAAATTCTGCTCATCCCCATGTTACCTGACTACTAAGAGCAGCAACAACAGTGCTCTTAGCTTCTCTAATCTGGAGACTGATGTCAGGTTGTTATTCTTGGGCTGCCAATAGTTTACTCACTCAGCCATCTTCCTAGCCTGTTCTTCCTTTCCTTCCTCTTCTTCCTCCTCTTTTTCTTCCTCTTCTTCTTCTCCCTCCTCCTTCTGCTTCTCCTCCTTCTTCTCTCCCTCCCATCCTCCTCCTCCTCCTCCTCCTCTGCAGCTGCTACAAGAAGCTACATTATTTATTCCGATTGTTGTTGTGGCCCTCTGTGAGATGTGCACCTTATTATGTTGCAATCTCTAGTCCAATGGTTCACAACTTGTAGGTGTTGATCCCCCCTGGGGATACAATGACCCTTTCCCAGGGGTAGCCTAAGACCACTGGAAAACACAGATAGTTATATTATGATTCATTGTTACATCTATGTACATAATTATGAAAGTAGCAAACTTACAGTTATGAAGTAGCAGTAAAAAATACTTTTGTCGTTGGGGTTCACAAGAGCATGAGGAACTGTATTAAAGGGCCACTCTGTTAGGCAGGTTGAGAACCAGTAGTCTAGACCTTCAGGTATTAGATCACAAGTGTCCCTTCAACTCTGGCACCTTAGTGAAGATGGAGTAGGGGCTACATATGGTTTAGACTGGAAACAGGCATGACAGTGGGCCTGTTTCCAACTTTGTAGCACTAGGTGCCATCCTCCTTCCCCTTTTTGCATGAAGAAGCAAGGGTGTGTTGGTTTTGGAACACTGCCTTTTAGAAGAAAGTGCTCCCCCCTGCGCTGAACCAGACACATGCTTCTAGTAGATGGCTCAGTTCCCATTGAGCTAAGTAGATAAGAGCAGCCCAGAGATCAGGATACTTGCAGTATTGGAAATTCATAGGACTTAGCCTGGAATGTTTCAAGCACACCGTACCCAGGACAGAGAAGAGGAGCAGGTGCACACTGTTATTTGGCTTGTGTGAGAATCTCAGTAGGGGTGGATCAACTGAGGGAACCTCCATGAATCAGGGAGGTGTCTCTGAGACTTTCTTTTCACCCTGTGGCTCCTGCAACAGAATCACATCAACTTTCCTATTCTCTCTGACTTATCCTGATACTCTAGATCCTGCTGTGTCCTAAAAGACCTTGACACCAACAAGAGTGCCCATTACTGTCATGATTCGTAAGGAATGGACAGCAGGTGTCAGAAGCAGGAAATGATACTGAATGGATGGGGTTGGTGAATTCACAGGTAAAGGAACAAGGAGTCACCAGGGAAATGAAATCTGCCATTTGTTCAGCCCAGGAGCTCTTCAGGCTTCTGTTAGCTAGATATGGGCAAGGATGAGAATATTTAGGTCCTATTGGCTGTGAAGCATTTTCTTTCCTCTTCTCTATTACTGAAACAAGACAATGAAAGTTTGTCCAGGCAACTACTGAAGAAGCAGGAGTCTGAATAGGAGCCAGAGGAAGACGAGCAGCAGGAGACTGGTGACATGCTGGAGCAGGGTGTGGAGGTGAAGCAGCATCAGGAGGAGGAGCAAGGCCAGAGAAGAAAGATGAAGAGCAGAAGCAAGAGATAGAGAAGTACAGAAAGAAGGAGAAGAGGAGTAGCAGGAATAAAAGGAAAATCGAAGGAGGGAATCAGCAGGAAGAGGAGCAGTAGGATGAGGAGCAGCAGAACGAAGAACTGGAAGAGGAGTAGGAGGAAGAACAGGAAGAGTTTAGCTAATCATTCCCTGCACACACCCATGTTGATACATGCAGTCCTAAGTAATACAGTGGGACAGAAAGACATACCATACAAGAAAATTGGCCATGGACTTGTTCAGAAGACAAGAGGTTAGGTGGAGGGGCAGGTGATATTTGGGAGGAGAATATGTATGTGTGTGTGTGTGTGTGTGTGTGTTCATGTGCTTGCATGTGCATATGTGTGTTATGTGCACACACACACATATAATTGTAGAAAAATAAATTTAAGAGAAGAAGTGACATTATAAGAGAAGAAAGCCACCTTGTTTACATTAACCTGGTATCAAAGACTCAAATACACCCTCTGAAGACATGGGACCAAAGAGGCAGAGGAAGCCCTGCGTGAGTGTAGTCCTGGGTGAATGCATACTGTTGGCCAGGCACCACAAACTGGCAAAGCTTTTCTCTATATAGGTCAAGCTAAGAATTAGCAAAGCCTTCTTCCACTGACTCAAGTTCAGGGTTTGGTTAGTGACTGACCAGAGTGTAAATACTAGCAGCTGCAGCTTCCCCCTTCTGGAGGTTTCCAGCCTGAGACTGCTGCCTTCACACAGGACTAGCTGGCTCTTCCCCCTTGCTGGTCATGATAAAGGAGCTGAGGTTACAGGGGATGTAGCTGAGGACACTGAGTGCTGACACAAGGCACCTGATGCCATCTTTTCTGTACCTGTGTCTGTGTGTCTGTCTTTTCTCCATTCCCTCATCTCCACTAGTCAGGGTTTCAGAAGTAAGCCAGCTGAGTTGTAACAAGGCCAGAGATTCAGAAGGTGTAAATGATGTACCTGTGTGACAAGTGAAATCCTGTCTCAAAATAACTTGGTTATTAACTTAAAGCACAATAAAGACTTCAGATCATAAACGGCTGGTGACAGGAGTTGCTTATCTACCAGCTGACCCAAATTGTGTTGCCAGTGCCAAGGTTAGGTAGTTCACAACTACCTGAATCTCCAGTTCCAGGGGATGCAATGATCTGGCCTGTATGGGTACTCTACACACCTGGATTACAGATACATATGAATACAGATAAATAAAAACAAATGTTTAAACATCATGAGTAAGGACTTCCGGTCTGGGCCCGAGCATAGAGCAGGTCACAGGCGGCAGCTCCATACCCAACCCCAGAAAACCCAGAGAAAGGGGGACTCCCAGGAGCTTTAACTCAGGCAGCATCCCAGGTAAAAATGAATCACCCGTGATGTCTGCTGTTTGAAGTTCTAATCCAGATGCTGGCCTCCAAACTTATACTACTCAGACCATTGAAGGACCACTGACAAGAACATCAAACAGCTAGAGATTAACATCACTAATCTGAAGAAATCCCTAGTTTTGCAGTCTGAAGAGACCTCCTAAAATTGCAAAGATCCTTATTGGACTTGATGTACTCTAGTACAATAGAAAAGGCTGTGTACAGCTCTTGATTGTGTACAGCCCTTAAAGAATGTTGCCTTTACATAGACAAGACAAGGAGGGTTAAAGAGAGCATGAAGTAGGTAGTGAAGGCCCTAAGAAAAATCAGAGCGAGAATGAGACATATGAATGCTGGTACAAGAATTGGTTTGCAGCCTCTCCAAGGTTGTCAACCCTATTTCCTTCTATCTTGGGACCATTATTTGGGTTCTTTTTGCTTTTTTCTGCCAGTCGCTGGCCCTCAAATAGGCAGACTAACTCTGTGATACAACAGATAAATAATTTGGTAGCAAAACCTATTTAGATACATTATCATAAGTTAGCTATGGAGGACCACAAAGCTCAAGATGAGGTTGTTACTTTATCCAGGGTGTTTCCAAAATCCATCTCCACCCAACCTAAAAGGGGGGACTTCTACCCCTAGACCAAGCAGAGAGGGGCCACGCAGAACCCCCTCTGACTGGCAATCTGAATTCTTGCTTAGGCTTTGAGGCTAAGCACTACAAGGAAATACAAATAAAAGATAAAAATATCTCTCTGGGTTCCCTGAGGGACAAGCCTAACTGCATAGGTGTTGATGTCAAAAGTATCCCCTCTCCAGGAAAAAGACATCAGGACGGGTATGGCCCTCATGTCTCACTGGACAACAACAGGGGAACTGGAGCCATTACAAAGTCCCTTTCAATTACTGGAGGTCAGGCCTCTATCCCCACCTTCACAAGATTAGAATTGCCACAGCCCTTCTATACTTAGAGAAGGGAAGAGATGTCAGGGAGCCCTGCTTATGCACTGAAGGCCTAAAATCAGCCATAGACCTAAAATCAGCAATAGGCCTATCATACATGTATACTAACACCAAGTCTTGGGTCTCAGTGGAAAAACATTGAAACAGATGGCTATAAGCTAATGTCAACAGGCAGCTTTTGCGGAAATTTATAAGCCTGAGTAGTCATAGACCTTGTAAATAGGTAGCCTTGGCAGACAATACTAACTTAGATAAGGACAAGCGAGTCATAGGCAGAGTCATAGTGGATTGTCCCCTGAACCTTCACCTAGCCGATACCTGGTTCTGAAGATATCTATATTCCCCCTGAACACCCACATTCCAGTGTCATTCCCTTCCACACATCCTGCCTTACTGTGTTTATATCCCGTGTGTGAATTATGATTTGAGAAAAAAAAAAAAGAAAATTTCAAGCAAAAAAAAAATCATGAGTAAAATGGATAAGCCCAAGACAAGGAAGATCATTTTGTACTTCACCAACAATGTTAACGATTTTTTAAGCACAGCATTTTCCTGTTGCCCACATCCACGATGTTTATAGTGCAGAAAGAAAAGCCAGACAACTATACACATCACATGTGTGCTGAGTCCAGGAATCTTCCTAGTCCTGAGGCTCTATGCCCTAACACTGTACTTCTATTGACTCAACTACACAAAAGGATCTAGATTTCACAGGGCTTTCTCAGGCTTTGGGGAAGTCCAGTAGAAAAAGGCATCCTCAAGAGAGGTGGGCAGGTAACTCAAGGGGAGGTAGAAGAGCTTGGCATCCCATCCAGCTGAGTATCGGGTGCGAGGGTGACAGGCAGTCAGAGCATGCTCCATGCAGTCAGTCACCAAAGACAGGTCCTTGTTGCCCCTCTGGTCCATTTCCTTTATCGTTTTCAGACCTAAGCAGAATGAGGAATCATTCAGATGGTCATTCAGTTCCCACCACTCCTGTCTCATACCAGCCTAGAGGAAAACTTCTGTCCTCTATGTCAGAAAATCCATGTGTCTGAAACCTAGCCTGTCCCTTTTCCTTAAAAGGACCAGAAACAATCTTCAAGGAATAATTGAACACATTCAGTCACCTGTATCTCATTACATGGAAAGTGTTAATTTTACACTGCTTCCCATTCCTGACTTCACTTACAGCCCCATGAGCATGAGGATCAGAACTAACAGAGCAGCATGTTCTGAGGATTCTTTGAGGATAACAAAATGAGCATTTTTGAGGATGCAAAAATGAGCATGGGATTAAAGTGTTCAAGAGTGTACTTGACTTTCATCCTCAGAGCTCACTTACTGGATGCCAAGTATTTCTCGCCATAGATCTCCCTGATTTCTGAGCTGGTCTGGTCCCACAGCATCTGGAAGTCTGATGAAAATCTGGCACTACTGGTCATTCCAGTCTTGAAGAGTCCAGGCTCTATAATAGCCACATTCACCCCAAAGTAGGAGAGCTCCCTCCTGCAAGGCAGACAGATGTCAAGGACTTCAGAAGTCTTTCAGTGAGAACACTTTAATAAGAGAAGATTGGCATGCCAACAAAAGCCTGTGGTGAGGGTATGCCACACACACTTCAGACCTGGGGTGTAGGAAATATTGAAGGATATTTTGATAAGGGAACTCTTCTGTGCTCTTGTAGCTCACACTAAGTATTTTTGTGTGTAGGTCAGTGACCATGAACTTCGGAAGTCTTTCCGTGAGAACACTTTAATAAGAATAGAGTAGCATGCAAACAGGAGCCTATGGTGAGGGGAGGTCATGCTTTTGGATCTGGCGTACAGGAAATATTGAAGGATAGTGTGATAATGGCATCTCCTCTGTGCTCTTGTAGCTCACACTAAGTATTTGTTGTGTGTAGCTCAATGTTCTAAGACTAGACAATCTGGTCTATGGCACTGTATAACATCTTTCTCCAGGTAGTTCAGATGTAAGGGATCCTAGTCCTTCTCCAAGTAATCCCTACCTCACTAGTAAGTCTCCATCTACCCCACTTGTGTCTAGGAACCTCTCAGGAAATCCCCCACTTTCTTCCTCGGGGTGTTTCTACAGAGCAACCTCCTACATCCTCACTTACATTGGCAGCCTACATGTTCCCTGCCCCAAATGGCTGTCCTGATTCTAGCCCTTTGAAGGGTAGCACTGCCCATAACACAAAATAAGAAGCATTCTGCACCATACAGTTCTCCACAAGTTGTCCTGTGCCCATCTGTTGACCACTCTCATTCCATAAATGGCCTTTCCATTCTCCAAAGAGAATGCATCTACAGATACAGGTTTGATGTTCCAGGATCTCATGTTTACTTTGATACAGTGCTACAGTACCCTCAACAAATCTGATGGCTATAAGGGTCAAAGGTGTGGAAAGGCCACAGCCATCTCACAGGAAGGTCACAGTTCTTATTTGACTCCTCTTTCATTCACTTGTTTGCCACAGTTTTAGGTCATGATAGAAGCAGGTAACTTATGCTAAAATGTGTTTATTGTGGACTTTAAAAGCGGCCTGATATCTATCTGTGGACTTGAAGGAAATATTTTCTCCAATTCCAAAAAAATAGTCACCACATAGAGATCTGGGTTCTGCATTCACGACCCCAAAAAGTTCACATTTACAATCCTATCCCAATATTGTCTCCCAGTGCCCTTCCTCTTCTGTAATAGGTCAAATGAACTGAACTCATGTCTCAGACATGGTGTCTTGTGGAGCCATAGAATAATGTTGCAAATTGAATGAGTCAGTGTTGGGAAGGTGAAAGAGATGCAGAACCCATGTGTCCTAACCATGATGGGGACTTAAAGAGTTTGAGTAAATAAAAGGTTCCCAAAGTTCCCATCGGTGTCCCCTTCACCTTCCAATACCTGAGAGAATCTGAGAAGGCCTCTATTCCATGCTTGGAGATAGAGTAACCACCACCACCAAAAGTCACTCGACCTGTGATGCTGGAGACATTGACCATGCGGCTCCTTGCCTTCCTCACTAAGGGCAGCAAGCTCAGTGTCACCTCGATCATGCCCAACAGGTTCACATCCAGTACAGTTGCAAAGTCCTGTTTGTTCATCCACTCATTAGGACCCCATGGGGTGAAGATCCCAGCATTGTTGACCAGGCCCCAGAGTCCTGGGGACAGTAGGATGAGACAGTCACACAACACAGTTTTGATTATGGATAAAATGCACATTTAATAAGGTAAGATCACTATGACACATGTTTCATGGACAATAGGAATCAATGAAAAAGAGCAGAGTATCCACACAGCAGCAGAACACTACTGGCTAACAGCATGGATACCTTCATCTTTTAAGACTTTGAGGCCCAGTTCTGTACCTGTGAATCAGCAAGGAGTCCCTTCTCACTTGCTAAGTTTAAGAACAGATGGTGAAAACATGGTACACCTTTGTTAATCTGGAGATTACAAAAGTATGTTTGTGACTTACAAGTTGATGCCATCCTTGCAGAGATTTTGTTCTTTTATTTGTTTTGGTGGTTTGAATGGAAATGGTAGCCATTGGCTCAACGTCATGAGGCACTGCTGGAGTGTGTGTGGTCTTGTTGGATTATGTCATTCACTGGAAGTGGCCTATCCTAGAGTCTTGCTGTTTTTTCTACCTATGGATCCTTATGTAGAGCTGTCAAATGATTCTCGAACACCATGTCTGCCCATAATCTACCACACAGCCTGATACAATGATAATGAACTAAACCCCTGCACTTAAGCCAGTCTTTTTTAAAATTTGTCCCCCAGACGTGTTACCATGGTCATGACATGCCTTCACAGACATAGAACTCTGAAAAAGACACCCATATCTTCAGAGAGTTATGAGTAATTTACACACTGCTGCCTTTTTCTTTCAAATGGTCAGAAAATGTAGTAATCAGGAAGGACTGCTATTCCTTATTATTCTAATAAGGAAAGAGAAAGAGCGAACAGAGAAAAATACATAGACCAGAAACCAATAAAACAGACAGGAATCTCAATGGTACCTCTGTTCCCAACACGCTCCTTCA